ATATATATATATATAATATATATATATATATATATATATATATGAAGAGATAGTGTACTAGTTAATGTTATGTGTGGAATAAAATACTGAATAGCTGTCTTGAAATCATTTTACTGAATGTTCTTAAAATCAGGAACGGATCCAGACATTTCTAACGGTGGGAAAGGAACCATGTTACCATAATATTGAAGGGGGCGCTAACAGGTGGTATAACGAAGAGCCCGGATTGGATTGGATTGGATTTATTTGGTGTAAACACCAAGGATAGCCCACGAAAGTCTAGAAGAAGACTTAATTCCAGTGGGGTCCTTCTGGTGGTGATTGGGCAGTACACCGGGAGACAATCCCCTACTCTCTTCCGAAAAGTGTACTGCGTTCTTTAACGTGAACATGGGCCATCAATGCACACGGGACCAACGGCTTAAACGTCTCATCCGACAGACAGAGCGCTATTATAACTTGTATTTCAGCCCTCCAGCTGAAATACAAGGAGAGGCAGTGATAGGAATTGAACCGGGGACCTAGAGATCTCCTCGGTTCAGCGCACACACAGTGGCTACCACCAGATTAGCCGACTGAGCTAAGCTGTTCTCTTCACCGGACAGATAAAGAGACATGAGGAACAGGATGAAAGTACTGGACAGACAAAAATAATGGGAATTTGAAGGGTAGAACCAAATGCTGTGACATTGTATATTATGAACGTTGGTCGTTCAAAGTTCACTAGCGAGCAAAATCTGATTTGAACTTTCGTTCCTGTACAAATTCCAACATGAAAGTATTTTTTTTAACCAAAAATATTGTCGGATCGTTCATGGACTTGTCAAACATTTGGACATAGAAATTGTTTGCGGTTTAAACCATACCTCATTGAAGTAGGTTGGTTGAGAAGGAAGTATGCAGTACCTAACCGCACGGTTGATGAAAGAGCAATAGTAGAGCTGGCGGCGTAGATTTAGAGATATACGACTTAATTGCCCGTTAAAATAATACAAATAGCGAGAAAACACAGTACTTAGGCCTATTCATCATGTTCGTCCATTCAAGTACAGTAAGACAAATAAATTGAGAAATATGTTTTTACCAGATGATTCCTGTATAAGCGACAAAATCACATGCGGTGAAAAAGGATCATTCTGATCACGCAGTATACACTTTAATCTTTAGGTCTAACGTGCAATGAACATGTAATGCTCTTCTTTGGTCGAGGTCAGATAAACATCAAAATATAGTCTTCGGTACTATTACATACTACGAAGATTTTAAATATTGAATTTTTCCGAGGTTTATTAGGCCAAAACAGATAACAATATGGAGGTTTGATTCCCATTGCTATTATTGTTTGTGTCCTTGGCCACACTACTTCATTGTATACGTGTTTTGGTCTAACAAAAAGTAATATATTAGTAGGTCTAGGGTACCTATTAGAGTTTGCCTGAAAGCCAGTGCATTGTTTACTAGCTGCAGCACCCCTTTCCTTCCTCCAACCGCGAGAGCTGAGTAGGTGTTCTTGGCAGCCATTCTTTAAATCCAATGGGTAGTTAAATCTGAAGCAAGGGTCGATTATCAAAATCATCAACATCATATCATAAATCATCATCATCATCATTATCATCATCACCACCGTCATCATTATAACCATTATCCGCTCGAAACACTACCACCGCCACCATCTTACAATAATGATATTCAATAGCGTATACCGGTACCTAACGCAGGGGCGGATTTAGGTGGGGGGGGGGGCGGCCTCGGTCCCCCTTTTGGGGGCTAAAAAAAAAAAAAAGAAAAGAAAGAAAAAGAAAAAAAATGATAGCCCTACGCCTCAAATGTTATTTTCGGGCGTCTAGAACACAAAAATTTCGTGGGGGCATGCCCCCGGACCCTCTAGGACATTGCTGTCTCGATCGGCCCGAATTTCTGCCCCCACCCCTTTTGGACATCTCTGGATCCGCCCCTGTAACGTATTTGTGAACCACACGATCAGGGGATATCATAAGTTAAATAAGTTTATTTTATACTTTTGTGCATAGTTTTTCATATCTAGAAAATGATTTAATATACAGATAAGTTGTAGGCCAATAATACAATAAGCCTATACTGTACATCATTCGTGTCGTTGTACTAAGGCTATAATTAATATTTAAAAAAAAAAACTTTCAGTCACACCATGGTGACACTCATCGTTGGACATGGTCTGTCAAGTCAACAGTGGTGTTTAATAGAAAATCAGCCCATAGGATCTGGAATCCGTTTGCGTCATCATCGAGTGGTCCACATCTATACGTGTTGGCCTTGAAACTCGCAAGTCTAGCCTACCGTTTAACCCACCATCAAACGTATCACGTACAGTAGAGTCTCGTAAATATTTCTTTATGTTTTGAAAATGATCGTTGTATTTTTTTTTAAATTCAAAAATTACCATATTCGTATTAAAGTGTTACATGCAATTATATATTATTCTATTTTCCGTTTTATGGCACAAGGGTCAATGTTGTGTCAATATTTAATTTAGATTAAACGTGGCAATCACTTTCCCAAGAAACATAATAGAAAGATAAGCTCCCATAATTAATGATGAATGTAGAGAAACGGAAGTCTCGCTTAGGACCCTGAAGATTGGAAGGCAAGCATGTTCTTCATCTTCTACAGCTCACGCTGCACTGGAAAGATGAAACATAAACAATATATTTGATCCTAAGATATGTAATACATACTTCAAGTACCGAAATGCACGTCATCGTGTCGGGATTCAATATTTCGACATTAATTATGTCATCATCTGGAATA